TTCAGTGCAACATTTTACGACTTAAAGACGACAGGTTAGCCTCGGTTAGCATCTGTGTTCTGTCTATAGCCTCCGTTATTCAACATAACAAACCCCAACATGGAAAAGTTTTTAAAGGGGATGAAAATAAAAGCGGAGAGAGACAAAAGAAAGTCACCCTAAAGCTAAGTGTTTTATATATTGTGCTCCTGAGTTAATGTTGCTTAACTGATTATAAATTAGTTATTATTTTAGTTTTTTTTGTAGTTTATTAGTTATTATAATCATTAAATATTATTTATTGATTTGATTTAATTTAGCAATGGTGCAATTAGTTGGTCAAACATATTTACAGTATAAACAAGGATTTATTAATTTTTAATTTCAGGCATTGATGCACTTAAAATCTTTTCTGTTGCAGACTTAAAACACGATTTAATAAAGTTATTCTTTGTAAGTTTGACCATATGTCTTTCTTTTTTCCTTTTCTTTAACTCATTCGCTGCCAAGGACGTCTATAGACGTCTTTTATGTTTTTCAACGAGAGTGGCTGGGGGACGATCTGCTAAAGCTTGTCCGTAAATATCAGGCTTCTAGACAGAGTATGTAGTAACAAATTGACCCTCTAGGTGGCAGTGCCACTTTTGATGGGAGATGAGCATAGACTGTAGGCAAATAAGAAAAAGGTAACGGTTCGCTATGAGAGAACATGTCGCCGGTGAGACGCAAGTCCAGGAAAAACGGAATAAGGTAGAAACAAAATCTTTTTTCCTGATGAAAGAAGAGAGTCTACTCTTTCTTTTGGTGTGTTCGGTGTTTACATAGTCATAGCACAAACTATTCTGTGGCTCTCGAAAAATCAGTCAAAATGCTAAAAAACTCTGGCAGTATGGGACTCTGTTCTGAAAATGGCTGGCAGTCAATGAGTTAAGGATAAAATGTTATGTAGAGATAGATAGTCATGGTGGGGAGTGGGGGGATGCGAATAGTTTTCTTCTTGCTAGGGGGGGCGTAACAGACAATAATTGAGAAGCACTGGTTTATACGGACTTAAACCGGTTCAGAGTTTGAATTCTTTTCCGGGTGGATGTTAAACACGCATGCGGCACTTCCTCACAGCTCCTGACGTCACTTCCTGTTGTGGCTTTAAATCTAAAAGCTGACGTTTCCACTCTTTCAGGTCCAAATCGCTGAGCAGAAGTTGGACTTTAGTACTGTCCAGGCCAAGTGTGGCTCCAAAGACAATATCAAACATGTCCCCGGTGGAGGCAAAGTGAGTAACTGAGGGATGAACTCAACGCCTTTTCTTGAGTTTCTCTGCAGTTATTAAACTAAAAAACACCTTTTGGGGGTGAAATGCTCCAATCTCTGTTCACTAACGAGAAGTAACTGACATTTGGTGCTTTTTTGGGGGGCATAAAAGCTCAGAGGGCTGAAAATAAAGCTGGTTTAAGGTGTCTGTAAATGCTGACCAATCAGAGGCCTGCAGCCTGTGGAGGAGCCCCAATCAGACGGCTCCGAACCCAGAAAGGGGGCGGGGCTTAGAGTCTTTCATCTGTTGTATTTGTCTGTTTTTTTTTAACCAAATAATCCATCTATTGTGTGGACTGTTTAGTATAAATGGGGGCTTTAAAGCTGAAAGCTGAGTGATGTCACCTTTTCAGGATCCAATCAGAGCTGCAGGCTCGTTAAACTCTCGTTAAACTCTAATTCCTCTCAAATCAAAGCAGCCAATCACAGAAAAGGGGGACTTTTTGTGTCTCAGAATATCAGTTTTTCTCCTT